CTTAAACACTGCATTTCTGAACCTAAGAGATCTGTAGTGACATCTCCAAGGCCAAGTCCCACCCTGAACCCGGCTCAGCACATCAACTAGTCTGTGTCTCTTGATAGGACATTTTCCTGAAAAGTACAAGGGAGTCCTTGATGAGGGGAGATCAAGGGGGCATAAGCACAGAGGATGACTTGGTCTGCTGTTGCTGCCATCAAAAATACCACAGGCTGGACATGTCCACAGGCGAAATGTGTTCACCGGAAGTGCTGGAAGCTGAAGCCAAGGTGCTTGGCTGACGTGGGTTCTGCAAGGGCTCTCTAGTTGGCTTCCAGACAGCTCTTTTTTTCTAGGACGCCTAGTGAGAGGGGAGAGAAAGAGCTAAAACTCTTAATTGTGTTTTTATTTTGCTTTTTTAAGAAGGCTTGTTTGAAAGCCAGAGCCACAGAGAGCTAAACAGAGAGGAGCCCTTCCACCTGCTGGAAGAGGTCACTCCTTAGTTGACCCAAATGGCCAGAGCTGGCCCCAGCTGCAGCCAGGTGCAGGAGCTTAGTCTGGGTCTCCCACGTGGTGGCAAGGCTCCAAACACTTGGGGCATCTTCTGCTGCTTTCCCCATGTCACTTCAATTTTTTCCTTACTTCGAACATAGCCACGCTATGGCTGGGGTTAAGACCTCAACACCTGAGTTTTCAGGGGACACAATTCAGCCCATAGCTGGAACTCTGTGATATTATGTGGATTCGAGTTTCTGTCCATCGCTTCTGGGTCATAATCCCCCCCTCCCAAGGCAGGCCATGGAAACTCAAGTGAGAAGACCTCGTCATTCACAGCGCCCCGTCCCATACCCCTCCAGTACGGACTGCTTAAGAATCTGAACCAACAGCCCTTTCATTATTTAACACTTTCTCCTGTCCTGCTTCTGGTACCCATCTCCTTAAAATCACAGATTACAGAATTTCCAATCCCATTTGCAAATGGAGGTCATCACTGGTTGTTTAATTCACCACAACAAAAGATAATTCGCAGGCCCTTCTCACTTTCTAGTATCTCCTTATTAAACCTTTTTTTCTGCAGCCCCTGGAGCGTCGGTGCTCTGCCTGGTGACGGAGGACGCGGCTGGATTACAAGGGACGATGCTAACAGCGGTCAGCGTGACTGAACAGACCTGCAGCCTGGGCGCCCAGCGTCCGGCAGAGATGGGATCGGCAACAGAAGAGCTGCACTCGCGGTTCCTTCGATAGCTCAGTTGGTAGAGCGGAGGACTGTAGTGGGAGTTCCCGGTCATCCTTAGGTCGCTGGTTCGATTCCGGCTCGAAGGAATTCCAAGTTTTTGTTTTTCACTTCGCGAAGGCACAATCCGGTTACACCCGCCTTTCCCCACCGGCAGGTAGGTTATCTGTTTTCATGTTACACCCGTCTTTGATGAAAATATACTTAAAACCGTCCTCTACACACGGTGAACCTAAAATATTTTTAATCATGATCCTTTGCAACAATGTTTCACATGTGCCATCAAACTGCAATTTCAGAGTCCAGTCCGTTGAGCTCCTTGCCCGGGGGCCGCGGATCCCGGGGGGCCGCCTGGCTTGGTGGGGACGGCGGGGGCGTCTCCATCGGACGGGCGGTTCCCCAGTCCAGCTCGGCCCAGCCCAGCTCAGCTCAGCCCGGCCTCGTGGAGCGCGCGCGCCCCCTGCCGGCCGCGACTCTCCAGCTCAGCCCAGTCCAGCTCAGCCCAGTCCAGCCCAGTCCAGCCCAGCCCAGCCCAGTCCAGCCCAGTCCAGTCCAGTCCAGCCCAGCACAGCTCAGCTCAGCTCAGTCCAGTCCAGCCCAGTCCAGTCCAGTCCAGCCCAGTCCAGCCCAGCTCAGCCCAGCCCAGTCCAGCCCAGTCCAGCCCAGCCCAGCCCAGTCCAGCCCAGCTCAGCCCGGCCTCGTGGAGCGCGCGCCCCCTGCCGGCCGCAGCCCCGCCCTGCGCCCTTCTTTGCGTTGTGACGTCACCGGGCTCAGAACATTCGGCGGGATCAAGATCCCTCCCGGGAGAGAAAAACAAAGAAATACAAAAACACCCACACAATTCCCCCAAATGATCTTAATATGCTTCAAGTTCTGAAAACATTGCCGCAGAAGGAACAATCAAGGCAGAAGGAAATCACACCGAAAGAAGGAGGAGGATCCGTGTGACCCCCTTCCGCTGCCTGCGGGAGAGTTGATGCCGAAAGCTCAAGTCCGCACGAGGACAATGACGGAGGTGTTGAGGGAAGGATTGTCTGAGCGCAGTCCTCAGAGGACGCAGGGGACCTCACTGAGCTTAGCGGAAGCTCCCAACGAGCTTGTTGCGTCCTGAAACCTAGTTACAGCCAAAAAAAAACAACGATTTTTCTTTCCAAAATTTGATCACTGTAACCCAAACGTACTAGATGGGCCTAGTCTGAACTCCTGGCTGGCGCACGAGCGCAGTGCCCTTCGCTGCTTAGACATAAAGGAAGAGTCCAGGCCTTCCCGAACGGCGGGTCCCCGCTCTGACAGAGCTGCCCCCCACGGCCGGGGGTTCGCGTCCTGAGGGGAAAAAAAAGGGGGTAACTGGAGAATGCGGGCATCGATCCCGCTACCTCTCGCATGCTAAGCGAGCGCTCTACCATTTGAGCTAATTCCCCAACTAGCCGCACCGCACGCCCGCTTCATCCCTTTTGAAACCTGAGCCAGGAGTCCGGCTCTCGCCCCGAGAGCGCACGGTGCACGCGAGCCGGAGCGCAGAGTCCACAAACACCTGGGAAGCTTGAGAGCAAGAACGCCACCCCGAGGTCCTCGAAAACCGGGCACCAGGAAGCCACTGAGGGCGAAGTCAGGAGGGAAATATCAACATAGAGAAGCAATGAGGCTCAAATCCAACTACCCAGGAATTTCCACCAATGCTTGCCCTGACCAGTCGCTCAACATTTCCTTCAATTGGCCCGAGAGGCCCAGGTGCAGATTCGAATCTCATTGAAGTTACACTTTTTGCCCGGCTTCCCGTGTTTCCGCCGGCAAGATCAGGAGAGGCCGTGCATTGCTTTATTTCTGGGTTCCAGCAAAAGACCTACGAGCCACTTTTCCAAGGTGAACACAGTGTAGCAGATCCAGAGCAGGAGCCCTGCAGAAAGACAAAGGCAGGAGTTGCTGTTTTCTCCTGGGCCGATGGAGGCCCAGGTACCAGGTGCTGTTTCGGGTGCTAGGTGCTAGGTACCGTCCAGGTACCCTCCAGTTGTGCGAAGGGAGACCCACTGGGCATGGCCGTAGGAATATTTGAAGAAAGCCTTATGAAGTCCCTCTCCCCCATCTGTGTCTTCAACTGAAATTTCATTATGAGGGGGTTCCTCTTGTTTTTTGCTCTAATATTTTCTAATTTCTGTGAGATGGGCAAGATGATAACTGAAATGCAGAGTTTCGAAATATACATAAATATCCTAATGTTCTTCATAGTCATAAACCTCTGAACTGAGATAGCCGGATAATTATATAGAACCTTCCAGTGTCGAAGAAGACTTCTCTAAAGTGGGCTGCGGGGGCCGCCTGAAGGGCGCGGGGGCTGAGCGGCGGGAGGCGGCAGGTGCGGGCAGCCCAGGGCCCCGCAGCGCCCTCCTTCCTCCGGCCGCCCAGGACCGTGGAGGACGGACGTGAAACCAGAGTGAAGAAGCCGAGGAGTGGTCCTACCCTATGAGGCGGGAGATGCAGGAAATTTTATCTGGATTGTTCTAAGGCCCATATTCTGCTTTTAAAAGAAAGCTACTTATAGTATGGGAATATGGAAAAACCCATATAATACACATACGACAGAATATTGAAGCAAACTTTATTAAACCAAATTTTCAACAGTTATTTAGGTATTTAGTTTTGGATATTGCAGATAATCCAGTTGAAAATATAATACGTTGTTTCCCCATGACTGAAGAATTTATTGATGGGAGTTTACAAAGTGGAGGAAAAACGCTTGTGCCTGGACAAGCAGGGATCCCCAGAAGTGCTGCGTTTGTTATTGCATGCATTATGGAAACATTTGGAATGAAGTACAGAGATGTGTTTGTTAATGTTCAAGAAAGGAGATTTTGTATTAATCCTCATGTTTGATTTGTGCATCAACTTCAGGAATACGAAGCTATCCACCTAGCAAAATTAACAATACGGATGATGTCACCACTTCAGATAGAAAGATCATTTCCTGTTCATTCTGGAACCACAGGCAGTTTGAAAAGAACACCCGAAGAGGATGATGACTTTGGAAACATGCAAGTGGCGACTGCACAGAATGGCTGATGCAAGCAGAACATAAATAGTATGTTTAAAGCGAAGGAAATTGTGACAATAATGAATATATATATACATTTATTTTAAACTAATAATTTATGATTTGTAAAGAGGTATTATTGCAATAATGCACTTTTCATACTTGAAATTTGTATGATATCGTTATTACTTTAAACAAATGCAACTTAGGGGCAATTTGTTTATAAAAACCTGGGTAATTTACAAGGAGAATTTCCTAAAAGTTTGTTTTAAAAATTTAGTTTTTGTTGCACATATTACATTTTTAAGATAAAGTTATAGTTTAGTTGTAGGGTGGAGCCTCTTACAAAAACATTAACAAAATGCAAGAATCTGCCATCTTCTTCAGTCCCTGCTATTAATAATCTTTAAATCATGAAGCTAGGCTACTATTGTTGCTTTAAGATAATCCGGTTAACCTTTACATTTTTCTGTAATCTATTCTAAAACCATAAATTAGTTTACATTGAAAGTGGGAGAGTTTAAAGAAACCATAGTAAATTATTTGGAATGTGGAATCATTTAATTTTTATTGTCTTTATGATTCTGTAAGATTGCTCCAGTTCAAGCATTTCCTGGAAGGTGCACTTCATGGGAAAAGTGATTTGTAGGAGACTTTGGATCTTTTGTTCTGTTTTTACTTATACGTATAAAAATGATTCTAAGAAAACCAGTTTTCCTTTCGGCCAGAGCCGCCATCTTGCAGTAATCCACCAAGATGACGACCACAAAGGGGAAGAGGAGAGGCCGTGTTCCATGTTCTCCAGGCCTTTTAGGAAACATGGAGTTGTTCCTTTGGCCACATACATGCACATTTACAAGAAAGGTGACATTGTAGACATCAAGGGAATGGGTACTGTTCAAAAAGGAATGCCCCATAAATGTTACCATGGCAAAACTGGAAGAGTCTACAATGTTACCCAGCATGCTGTTGGCATAGCTGTAAACAAGTCAGGAGCAAGATTCTTGCCAAGAGAATAAATGTGTGTATTGAGCATATTAAACACTCTAAGAGTCGAGACAGCTTCCTGAAACGGCTGAAGGAAAATGATCAGAAAGAAACCCAGGAGAAGGGTACCTGGGTTCAGCTTTAGCGCCAGCCCGCTCCACCCAGAGAAGCCCACTCGGTCAAAATGGGAAGGAACTGAGCTGCTGGAGCCCATTCCCTAGGAATTCACGGAATAACAAGAGAAAGAGAAATAAAGGTCTCTGGACTCTTGCGAAAAAAAGAAGAAAGAAAAACAGGGTTTTTGTTGTTGTTGTTGTTATTTTATGCATGAAGAGATAGAGAAGAGTTTTTACCTTTTTACAGTTGTCTAGCACAAATAGAACTCCTTCATGCATCATTTTTCTCAGTCCTCTCTTGAGGTGCTTCCCCGATGGGAATGTTTTCCATACATTTCCTGGTTATCGAGAGGTAAGATGCAAGGTAACCTATTACATCTAGTTACTTCGCTTGCATTCCTCTCTAAATTGTAATAATGCAATAAAAGCTTGGGGTTAAGGGGAAGGATGGAAATTAATAGGGAAAAAAATTTGCCTGCCGAAACACGAATGCAAATACAAACTGTCCAGACGTCTATTATGCTAGGTGTTCTAGGGGTTTCTTCCACGTGCCCTTCGATAGCTCAGCTGGTAGAGCGGAGGACTGTAGTTGGAAGTTCCCGGTCATCCTTAGGTCGCTGGTTCGATTCCGGCTCGAAGGACACAGTTTTGAACCACAAAGACATTTCCCGTACCGGCCTCGTGGGCCGGTATTATTATTTGAACCCATCCTACTTGGAGGAGGGCCGTGCACGACGGTGCCACGCGAGGACCAGCGGGGTCGCGGACACGGCCTCTCCGATCAGGGCGGGCAACCCCGCCTCTGTGCTTCGGGCCCCTTCGGGTTCAGAACGCGCCCCGGTCAGGGTGAGGGACACGTGCGGGGCGAGGCCCTTCAAACACGGCATGTGAAGGGCCCTCGGCGGTTCACTTCCTCGGCGCCGGGACGCTCCCTCGCGGGCAGCGCGAACGCGGGAACCGGAGGAAAGCGGGGGGTGAGCGAGCGCGCTCCAACCTAGCAGAACTTCAAAGTAAAGCTAATGAAATCAACATTAAACTACTTTTAAAACCGCATTCAATATGCTCATGTAAAACTTGCACATTAAAGGTGCTAACTTATAAGTTCTAACGGGGAGCGATCCATTCCGTCAGAAGGAATCAGATCCCGGTTATCCCGGTAAATCGGTAAATCGCTATTTCGGTTGCTAGGATACGGAAAGCCTTCCCGGAAAACCCGCTGCACACGGCACGTTACGGCGCATCGGGCATACGTCAGTTCCGGTTCTGCTGAGCCACCACTGGAGTGGCGTCCAGACCGCTAATACTGGGTTTTCATGTTTGCTCCAGCCCGAACCTCCCTTGTGACCTCACACACCTCTTGGGTTATACTGTGTCCCGCATCGCCTCGGCTCTGCCCTTAGCTGCGTGTTGTCGCAACCGTGTCGTCACTGTCTTAATCCCGCCCCTCGCAGCGCGCCGTCGCACAAGGCGCGCCTCATCTCTCCGGCACTTTACGGTTGTCGTGCCCCGTGCATCTGCCAAGATGGAGGAAGACGAATCGGAGAAAACCGGTTCGGAATCTGAGGTGCTAGAAGAGTCGGAGCAGGAACCGGAGGAGGAGGAGGAGCGGGGGGAAGAGGAGGAGGAGGTGGAGGAGGAGGAACAAGAGGAATCCGCCGGACCAGGTCGCAGCAAGAAGAAGCGGGTGGTCCCGGGGATCGTGTACTTGGGCCACGTCCCGCCGCGCTTCCGCCCCTTGCACGTGCGCAACCTGCTGAGCGCCTACGGGGAGGTCGGGCGCGTGTTCTTTCAGGCGGAAGGTAGGTGCTGGGTCGGCGGCGTGGGCTCGCGGTGCCGGGCTCGGAAGCGGGCGGGGGCTCGCGGTGCCGGGTCCGGAGGCGCCTAGACCTGCACCGGGGGTCCTTTGCGTTCTGAGCTCGCGTGCCTTCCCGCCTGTCGGTGTGATGATCAACAGTGCCGTGGTTGTTACAGTGTCAGAAACTTGCATTACAGAACTGAACGTGAACTTTGGGCGACTTGGTTCACCACCATCGCATACTGTCACGCCACTGGAGTTGGGCTTGGGGGCTCGTGCAGGTGTTCTGTAGTACTCAGGGCAGACCTCAGGGGTTGGGATTTGAGAATATGAGGAAGCGAGACAAAGGAAGGAGTGTGTGAGGCAGAGGGCGTGCTCCCAGGTCATTCCCTCTGAAGCGCAAGATAGGATCTTAACGTGGGCCAGTGGGAGGTGCATGCGGGATGCTGGGTCTCAGAGTTCATCAGTTCTGTCTTTGGTACGCAGACCAGTTCGTGAGACGCAAGAAAAAGGCAGCAGCGTCCGCAGGAGGAAAAAAACGGGCAAAATATAGCAAAGACTACACAGAGGGCTGGGTGGAGTTCCGGGACAAGCGAGTCGCTAAGCGGGTGGCAGCCAGCCTGCACAACACACCTATGGGTGCCCGCCGGCGCAGCCCCTTCCGGTACGACCTGTGGAACCTCAAGGTGAGCTAAGGCCTGTGTGCCAGCTTCTCACCCTCCCCTTGCCAGCTCTGCCCCTCTCCCTCTGCCTGATAGTCCCTTCTTCTTCCCACAGTACTTGCACCGTTTCACCTGGTCCCATCTCAGTGAACACCTGGCCTTTGAGCGCCAGGTGCGAAGGCAGCGCCTGAGAGCCGAGGTTGCCCAAGCCAAGCGGGAGACTGACTTCTATCTCCGAAGTGTGGAGCGAGGACAGCGCTTCCTTGCTGCAGATGGGGACCCTGCCCGACCTAATGGCTCCTGGGCATTTGCCCAGCGGCCCACTGAACAGGAACTGAGAGCCCGGAAGGCCGCCCGGCCAGGTGGACGTGAGCGAGCTCGTCTAGCTTCGGTTCAGGACCAAGCACGCTCCAACCGAGGGCTCCTGGCCAAGATCTTTGGAGCCCCTGCACCTTCAGAGAGCAAAGAAGGCCCTTCATTACCCAGGGACTCCTGAGGGGTGGAAGACACCCTCCATCCCCAGCTCTGCCTTTCTTGCTCTACCTCACACAGCAGAGACTGTCTGCACAGGTGGACTTCTCATCCGAGCAAGAGTGTGGTGAGGACCAGGAAATAGAACTCTCACAGGCCTCCACTTTCCGCTGTGACTTCTGGCTGCCTGTCTCCCTCCCAGCGTGCTGGCCTCAGGAAGGGCCTTTATTTCTAATTAGAGTGATGGCTGCTTAGGCAATCAGATTGTATTTGCATTCTGAAAGTAAGGATAGAGGCTTCTTTTTTATTAAGCAAAGAGTAACCGCAGCTAATAAAGTGGGACTGGGTTGGCAACCACCTTCCAAATTTGTAGCAAAAAAAGACTCTTTACCATTTTGTTTTAGCTGGTCCCCATTGAGCACGTTCTCAAGCTTTATCTTCTGTTCCATTGGTTTCATTGTTTTATCTTCTTGTCTCAACTCCCATTTTAGCTGAATCCTTTTTTATTTTTCCCTCTGAGGGTTGGGAAGCCCTCCCAAACTGAGCAGGAATCCTGAGATTGAAAGGTTACAAAGCACCTTATAGGATGAAAGAGTTTCTTAAAGCAACTGGCATACTGGATTCTAGAGCAGAAAGGGCAAAATGGCAGAGTTACAGCAAAGTGTATTCCACACACAGCCCTTGAAAAGGTGAGGCTTGGGGATGGGGTTGTGGCATGGCAGGGTAAGCTTCATTTATGAACCAGCTCCCTGCTAATGTGCCTGGAAAAATAACAGAAGGTTGCCTGAATACTTGGGTCCTTTCTGCCTGTGTAAGTGACTATGATAGAGGTCCTGGCTTTGCCCTTGTCCAGGCTGTTGTGGCCTTGGGGGAATCATTCAGCAGGTTAGAATACATGTCTGTCTCCTCTCCCCAACTCCCAGCCACAGCTTTTGAAATAAATAAATCTTGGGCCTGGTGCAGTGTTCTATCGGCTAAAGTCCTCACCTTGTATGCGCCAGGATCCCCACTTCCCATCCTGCTCCCTACTTGTGGCCTAGGAAAGCTGTTGAGGATGGCCCAAAGCCTTGGGACCCTGCACCCGTGTGGGAGATCTAGAGGAGGCTCCAGGCTCCTGGGTTTGTTTTGGCACAGTACCATCCATTGCAGTCACTTGGAGAGTCAATCAATGGAAGGAAGATCCTCCTCTCTCCTTTTCTCTATATATCTGACTTTGCAATAAAATTAAATCTTTATTTAAAAAGAATAAATCTTGAAAACAAGGTTTTGTACATTTACAAGTTAATGGAAAGCTTAGTGGCAGCTTCACATTTCAACATTCCTATACTGTTTTCCAAACTCAGCCTTTGGGAAAGGTTTGTGATCGTACTTGAGCTCTATGACTGGAGCGTGGCTTTGGGGAGGCTGGCAGGTCAGTGTCCTCCAAGAGGACATATGATGGTGCCGGAGGGGGCTCAGTGGCAGTGCTGCAGTTGGCTGTCATACTCTTAGCCTACTTGTTCAGCATTTAACTCTGCTTTTCCTGAACTGCTCTGGAAGTAACAGACAGTGGGGAATAGCATGGCCAATGGCAGTAAGCGCCTTATGTCCCAACAGACATAACCATTGTGGTAGATGTAGAGGCCTCAGGCATGGTATGGAGAGCTCTTCTTGTGGATCCAATTTGTGATTAGTCTTCAAATATGGGCCAATCTCCACTATTTTCCAGATAATTGCTGGAGGGTGAGCCAGGAGGATGAAAGCAGAGGTCTAGAGGAACTTGGTATGCTCCTGTGTTTGAAAAGATTGCATGAATGGTTTATCAGATTCAGGCCACTACAAAAAGCCTGGAGAGGAATAGGGAAGTTACTCCTCAGGTGTACTTGGAAGTACTGGACTTTGCCAGTAGGTGAACAGATCTATCCTGGGACCTTGGGGAATCCATGTAAGCCGCTAAGAGGCATGGAGGATTGTAAGCACAATGAGAAACCTAGACACAGCACCTGATCATTCAAGCTGTTAACTTACAGAAAGAAGTAAGATTGTGGTTATTGTTGTTTAGGTTTGTGTTTGCTATTTCATTAGATTCCATTTCTCTGTCACCTTAAGTTTTGGTGGAATGGACAAATCCACTTTGTGAAATTCCCTGGCCTTTAGGATCTTGAAAGTTGCACTTTATTTGGAGATCCAGATGAATAAAAGTGATTGTACAAGAAGATGTGAAACATTTCTTACAAACTCAAAACACTGCACACAAGCACAGCTGTGTGAGGCTGGGCCCTAGGGAATCTGATATATTTTTCTGTGGGTTTCTTGTTCCTTCTGGTTTCCTCAGAAGAGCCAGAAGTCAGAATTTGATAAACTGACTGGTTTTGTTCAGATTTCAAAATGCCCATTGCCACCTTCATGGGTGGAAATGATCAACATAAAAGAGGAACCACCTTTGCCTCAAGTTGTAACAAGTTACAAAATAAAATGGGGCCTGGCGCAGTGGCTTAGCAGCTAAAGTCCTCCCCTTGAACGCGCCCCAGGATCCCATATGGGCGCCAGTTCTAATCCCGGCAGCCCCATTTCCCATCCAGCTCCTTGCTTGTGGCCTGGGAAAGCAGTCGAGGGTGGCCCTAAGCTTTGGGACCCTGTACCCGTGTGGGATAACCAAAAGAAGTTCCTGGATCCTGGCTTCAGATCGGCATAATATCGGCCGTTGCACTCACTTGGGTAGTGAATCATCGGACGGAAGATTCTCTTCTCTGTATATCTAACTTTCTAATAAATAAATCTTTTTTTTTTTTTTGTATTTTTTTTTTTATTGGAAAGGCGGATATATAGAGAGGAGAGACAGAGAGGAAGATCTTCTGTCCGATGATTCACTCCCCAAGTGAGCGCCACGGTTGATCCAAAGCCAGGAGCCTCTTCAGGGTCTCCCACGCAGGTGCAGGGTCCCAAAGCTTTGGGCCGTCCTCAACTGCTTTCTCGGGCCACAGGCAGGAAGCTGGATGGAAAGCGGGGCTGCCGGGATAGAACCAGCATCCATATGGGATCCCGGAGCGTGCAAGGTGAGGACCTTAACCACTTGCGCCTCTGCGCCACCGTGCTGGGCCCAATACATCTTTTTTTCAAAAAAGCCTCCTTAGGTATAAAAAAAAAAAGACCGATATCATAGAAAATTATTCAGTTGGTTCCAGCGTGGAAGCCTAGTGGCTAAATCCTCAACTTCCATGCACCGGGATCTCATATAGGTGCCGTTTCTTGTCCTGGCTGCCCCACTTCCCTTCCAGCGACCTGCTTGTGGCCTAGGAAAGCAGTACAAGATGGCCCAAAGCCTTGGAACCCTGCACCTGTATGAGAGACATAGAAGAAGCTCCTGGTTTCTGGCTTGAGACCAGCTCAGCTCTGGCTGTTGTGGCCACTTGGAGAGTGAACCAATGGAAAGAAGATCTTTCTCTGTCTCTCCTTCTCTCTCTAAATCTGACTTTACAATAAAAGTAAATAAATTTTTAAAAGGGAAAATCACTGAGTTAAGTTTAGCAAAATGCTTTCTCTGCATCTGTGGGAATTTGTCAATCTGTACACTGGATCATAGCCTCGTAACCTATCCCACATGGAATCCAAGACAAATCTGGGTTTTCAATTTACTTTTGATATTATTTTTCTATCTTAACAGTGTTTTCCACACCTTGATGACAAACTTGAAATTCTTTTGAACCCTGAAACTTAACTCACAAATACCAACCACACTGATAGAAATTACAGATTGCAGACCCTGCATGGTGGCCTAGCAGCTAAAGTCCTTGCCTTGAATGTGCTGGAATCCCATATGGGCACCAGTTCTAATCCCGGCAGCTCCACTTCCCATTCAGCTCCCTGCTTGTGGCCTGGGAAAGCAGTCGAGGATGGCCCAAAGCCTTAGGACCCTGCACCCGCGTGGGAGACCTGGAAGAAGCTACTGGCTTGTTTGGATCAGCTCAACTCCAGGTGTGGCAGCCATTTGGGGAGTGTTTCTAGAGCTCAAGTCAAGGAAGGAGAACCTCGCTCATGGCATGGGGCATATTTGAAGAAGTGAAGCACAACCTCACAGGCAGAGGCGAGTGTCTGTTTTGGCAAAACACCAGCAAGTTTTCTCTGCTGAGTTGGAGGGAGAGTTACGTTGCAGTATTGCTTTTTACCTTTGGCAACTGAGGGAGATTTTTGTTCTCTCCTTAATCTTCCCTGTCAGCTCATTTCTGTGCCTTTTTCTCTCTCTTAAGTTTTGTTTGTTGGAAAGGTAGATTTACAATGATGAAAGACGGAGAGAAAGATCTTTCATCTTCTGGTTCACATCCTAAGTGGCCGTAACGGCTGGAGCTGAGCCCATTCGATAAATGCAGGATCCTGATGCTTTGGGTCATCTTCTGCTTTCCCAGGCCTCAAGCAAAGAGCTGGATGGGAAGTGGGGCACCTAGGACACAAACCAATGCCTGTATGGGATTCCGGCACATACAAGGCTAGGATTTAACCACGGAGCCTTTGTGCTAGACCCTATGCTAGTCTCTTTGACATTTTTAAAAGATTTATATATTTATATTACAAAGTCAGGTATACAGAGAGGAGGAGAGACAGAAAGACATTCCATCTGATGGTTCACTCCCCCAAGCAATCGCAACAGCCAGAGCTGAGCTGATCCGAAGCTAGGAGCCTGGAAGCTCTTCTGGGTCTCCCATGCAGGTGCAGGGTCCCGAGGCTTTGGGCCATCCTCGACTGCTTTCCCAGCCGCAAGCAGGAAGCTGGATGGGAAGTGGAGCTGCCGGGATTAGAACTGGTGCCCATATGGGGTCCTGGTGTGTTCAAGGCGAGGACTGTAGTTGCTATGCCATCATACTGGGCCCTCTTTAACATTTTTATTTTTTTATCTTATAACCCAAGTCTTGATTTGTTCCTAGGTTGGAGGCTTGCAGGCAGAGTCTTCACAGGGATAATTTCTTTTGGGGATCAGCATTGCAGTGTTGTCATACCCACACCAAACCTACAAATATTCTTCAGTTAATGATTTTGGAAGATGTAGTGTTAGAGGGTCAGAATACATGCATATGATTATTCCTTCTGAAATCAACTTAAGGGATTTATTATAAGGCGTTAATGTGTTTCAGGTTGGGCCTTGTTTAAAATGAAGAAAAGCACTCTATTCACAAGGAGCTTACTTGTGAATGGGGAGAAGACCACTGGATTTGTAGGGCATGTTACAATGAAAAAGGCTTATCAATAACTCATGGGACAGCTGAAAAGTTTTGAAAACGATGGAATTTTAGATAAAACAATGAAAAAGAATCGTGAAAGAAGGCATAGCAGCAGGAAGAACATGTGAAAGGCTCATACATGCGTGTGGGGGGAAAAGAATCATGTTTTCAATGACTGATTATAGAATGCCTATATGGGAGCCCAGCGCTATGGCCAGCAACTAAAGTCCTTGCCTTGAATGCACCCGGGATCCCATATGGGTGCTGGTTCTAATCCCGGCAGCCCCATTTCCCATCCAGCTCCCTGCTTGTGGCCTGGGAAGGCAGTTCAGGACTGCCCAACACTTTGGGACCCTGCAGCCACATGGGAGACCTGGAGTAAGTTCCTGGTTCCCGGCTTTGGACTGGTGCAGCACCAGCTGTTGTGGTCACTTGGGGAATGAATCCTTGGATGGAAGATCTTCCTCTCTGTCTCTCCTCCTCTCTGTATATCTGACTTTGCAATAAAAAAATAGATCTTTACAAAAAAGAAAGGAATCATACTAAAAATCATAAGCAGTTTTATCTGACTTGAAAACTGGTTGCTATTTATCTGAGCATGAAAGACCTTCCCCTAACAAATAACAAAAGTAATATAAACTTATAGAACTGACATGGAATACTGCAAGTTGATGCTGCAGTTTAACAGTGCCCTCATGTTACAGATACTGATAAGGCATTCATACTATTCTGCTGAAGAAAGATGTGTTCCCCACCTCAACTCTGGAAATTCTGTGTACTTCACACACACACACACACGATTGAGCCAGGATCTAGACCCCCAACAAACAAAAATTCAGATGGCCTTAGAAATTGTTAAGAAATTTAGACAGATTGTTTTTAAGCCTACACAGATCATTTACTTGTACATTTAGTAAATGTTTATTAGTAACTGTATGCAAGGCACCATGAGGAGCAAAATTCATGAATCTATCTCATGAAAGATTCAGTATGGCCAGGGCAGACATTTCCAAACTGCAGCTATCCACTGAAGGAAAAACGCAGGTCAAGGACACCCGGCTGGTCCAGGAGGAAATGTAAGTTCAGCAAGTAACAACAAACCATTTTCAGTCGTCTTTCTTCCAGAAAACACACTCGGATTCCTATTAAAAAAGTGTTTTCCTAATTATCTTGTAGAGGGCAAAAACTGTATTTCCCATATTTTCTAACACCTAATGATGTGTAGTAGCCAATGAAGCTCTGGCCCACAGCTTCTGTAGGAGTAAGGACATCAGGTGGCTTCAGTTCAGTGAAGGATGAGCACCAACTCCGTCACATACAGCATGGATGGCTAGGACAGATTTCTCTTCCTTTTGTGGCTTCGCTGATGTTGAATGAGGTTTGATGTTCGCGTGAAGCCCTTTCCACATGTGTCACACTGATAGGGTTTCTCCCCAGTGTGGATTTTGTGACGTTCAAGACCTGTATTCTGAGTAAAACTTCTTCACACTCACTACATTTATAAGACACAGGAGTTTGGACATTTTTCATCTTAGCTTGGCATTTTCAGGCCTCTCTGTGTTCAGATTCCTGAATCTTTTTACCCCCATGGACCCTCTGATGTCTCAGGAGATGTGAACTCCGCCTAAAGGCTTTGCCACACACAGTGCACCTGTATGGCTTTTCCCCTGTATGGATTCTATGATGTTCAAGGAGACTGCACCTCTGGCTGAAGGCTCTTCCACAGTCATCACACTTGTAGGGCTTCTCACCGGTGTGTATTCTCTGGTGTCTTATGAGGTCTGAGTTGTGACTAAAGGCCTTGCCGCATTCTTCACACTCATAGGGTTTCTCCCCAGTATGGATTTTGTGATGTTCAAGAAGATCTGTATTCTGAGTAAAACTTCTTTCACACTCACTACATTTGTAAGACACAGGAATTTGGACATTTTCCAACTGACTTTCCTGAATCTTTTTACCCCCATGGACCCTCTGATGTCTCAGGAGATGTGAACTCTGCCTAAAGGCTTTGCCACACACAGTGCACCTGTATGGCTTTTCCCCTGTATGGATTCTATGATGTTCAAGGAGACTGCACCTATGGCTGAAGGCTCTTCCACAGTCATCACACTTGTAGGGCTTCTCCCCAGTGTGTGTTCTTTGGTGTTTGATAAGGTTTGAGTTTTGACTAAAGGCCTTGCCGCATTCTTCACACTCATAGGGTTTCTCCCCAGTGTGAACTCTCTGGTGAATGACAAGATCAGAGCTCTTAATAAAAGCTTTCCCACATTCTTCACATTCGTAGGGTTTCTCTCTAGTGTGGATTCTTCTGTGTTTACTCAGGCCTGAACTCTGTGCAAAGCTCTTCCCATGCTCATGGCAAATGTGCCGCCCACTCCCTGCGGCATTCTGGCGCTTTCTTTTTAACCTGCCCTCTGGCTCCCCAGCTTGTGCACTAGTGGGAATCTGGGCAATGTCACCATCCAAGTGGCCTGGTGTCTGGCCTGGCTCTTGCTGTGGTTGTGGCTCAGCTGGAGGCAAGTTCCTGATCTTAGTCTCTATGTCACCACCTGAAACAACAAATGCCAGCACTGTTGATTACACACTCTCATAGGAGGAAAGTGCCGTGATGAGTAACATGGAGGCAAGATCACCAGGTTATTACATATATCAAAGAGGAGGATTTAATTGCCAGAATGAGGATGAGAATAAAAGGCAGAAAAGGGTGCCAGGGAGGGAGGTCTAAAGTGGAATTGGACCATAAGAAGGGAACAAACAGGGAATGGATGGAGTGACAAAAAGGTGTTGATAGCAAAGAGGTATGCTGGAGATAAAAGATGGGCTGGCAGGGTGTGTGGCATCTCACCTCTGAGGACAGTAAGGCAGGACCATGCATCTAGTATCAGATTATCAGGAAGTTGTGCTCACTTCGGCAGCACGTATACTAAAATTATCAGAAAGTCTGAGCAGAAAATGACAGAGAAAGTAAAAGGATTTCTGATGCACTCTGTAGGAGACAATGAGAGTGGGGACTCAGGTCACCGAACAATAGTTCAGGCTGGTATCTCAGATCTTATTCTAGGCAAAGGCAGGTTCTGCAACAAGAGCTGCACTGGCCCTGGGAATTATGAGCTGGAGAACTCACTATGCTTCCAACAAGCTCTGTGACCTCAGACACAGCAGGTACTCCTCACACCTCTGCACCTTCATCTCTAAGGTCAGGGTCTATAGTGAATTCCCAAGATCAAGTGCAACTCTTACATTCTTTGACTCATTCCCTGAGATGGTCTTTCAGTGTTTGTCCTCTACAGGGCTACCACGCGAAGGGAATGAACATGTACTGACTGTATACTAGAAGCCAGGCCCATTCTAAAAGCTGTACCTTATCCTATCATTTCAACTGACCTGAATGTTGGCACAGGGGAGAAAAAGACAAGGATTAGTTAAGGAACCAGTTCCTTAGCCAGTCAGCAATAGGGATTCACAAATGGCAGTTTGGATCCAAGCATACTTCACACACTTTCTAACAGTCTAACAGATTTGAACACACAATAGAAACCAAGATGCCTTAAGGGAAAGTAATACCCATTACTCTTACCCGGGGAAATCAGGCTGCTACAGGACTCCTGGATTTCCACTCGATTGAGGTTCTTATAAGATGAATTCAGCTGTTTCCACCCGGGGGAGGCAGTTGGGGCCACATCTTCCATTTTCAGGAACCCCTAAAACAATAAGCAATCACATCGAACTTTTCTTTTCTATGAGCACTACCAAAATGGAGTACCAAGAATGAAAATACACTTTTAGGGAGCTCTTTGAAAAAGGGCTTTCTCAACACTTTCTCAATAACATCTTAATCAAAAAGCATATATCAAATGAAAGAAATGTTACATATGTTAGAAACCCTTTCATAGAAATATTTAAAAGCGGTCCAGAAACTGAAAAGGGTCTGTGTGGTTAAAGTAGATGCATTTCCAAATTCTCCAAAAAATTAGAGTGTACTTTGGCAACATAGTGTGAGAGTTCATTTATAAGAATAATGACTTTTTTTCAATGTGTGTGTGTGTGCTTGCGTGCGGTGGAGGAGAGGCTTGTATTTTATTTATTTATTTTTTAAAAGATTTATTTATTTATTGGAAAGTCAGATATACAGAGAGGAGGAGAGACAGGGAGGAAGATCTTCGTCCGATGATTCACTCCCCAAGTGAGCGCAACGGCCGATGCTATGCCGATCTGAAGCCAGGATCCAGGAACTTCTTCTGGGTATCCCACATGGGTGCAGGGTCCCAAAGCTTTGGGTCGTCCTCGACTGCTTTCCCGGGCCACAAGCAGGGAGCTGGATGGCAGGTGGTGCTGCCAGGGCTAGAACTGGCGCCCATATGGGATCCCGGCATGTTCAAGGCCAGGACTTTAGCCACTAGGCCATAGCGCCTGGCCCCGAATAATGATTTTTAGAATACAATAAAATCTAGGTCTGAGATTAAGGGAAAACAAATACTACAAGAGTCTCCAATACTGAGATCTTTAAATGAAGGCTTGAGTAAGCAGAGTCAGCAAAGATGGCTCATGTTATAACATAGGCAATACTTCACTAAAAAGATACCTCTTACTTACATACCTTCAAGTGCTAAGTTCCTTGAAGGCAAAAGCCAGTTTTTTTTCTATCACTCATGAATAAGATAGCCTGTGAGATGCTAAAAAGCAAAAGTATCATCACAACAAAATCTTCAATTCATATTTGCTAAATTTCCTTCATCGAAAAAGGAAGTATCATTGATAAAGAAGCGGTGGGAAAGATCTGACCAGCATAGAGTGCCCTCCACTGAGGAAAACACAAACATTCAAAGCAGGCACTAAATTGAAAGTAGAAAATGGTAAGGGATAGATGAGAAAACTCAAATCCCATGTTTCTAGCTTCAGGGTGAAGAGTACCTGGGAGAGGGAAGGTGATGGGAATCCTAACAGAGTGAAGGGTGAGTGTTGTCAGAGGAGGGGAAAGAGAGGGATTCCACCGCACCTTGAATTCTGGAGCAAGCCTGGCAACGGCCACTGCACCTTCTTGGCAGTTCTCTCCCTGGGCAAGCTCAGAACCCTGGAGAACTAAGAGGCAAAGAAGCTCTGGATGAGATTCCCCTGGCATACAGCCTCCCTGCCTATGGAATTCAAGTTCAAAAACCAGGTTGGGCTCCAGTGTGGTAGCCTTGTGGCTAAAGTCTTCACCTTGCACACACTGGAATCTCAAATGGGTGCCATTTCTTGTCTTGGCTGTCCCACTCCCAACCAGCTCCCTGCTTGTGGCCTGGGAAAAGCAGTTGAGGAAGGCCCAAAGATTGGGACCCTGAACCCACGAGACCCAGAAGAGGATCCTGGCTGCTGGCTTTGGATCAGCTCAGCTTTGTCCATTGTGGCCACTTGGGGAAATGAATTAGCGTGCAGAAGATCTTTCCTCTCTGTCTTTTCTACTTTTTTATATCTGACTTTCTAAATAAATAAATAGATCTTTTAAAAAGAATAGGTTAATACATTTTTGTCATGAGATTTAGAGTCATGTTCCTTTCCAAAATGCCCAATTATTTTTTTTATCAGCTCCAATCCCAGGGTCCAAGAAATTTGGTACACTTCTGCAGATACAAAAACTCTAAGAAAATGCTTGGCAGGAATGGCGAAATAGCAGCAATGTAAAGACAAAGTCTTCCAGTTCCAGTTATTTCCGTTGTGAATTTTTCTGTAAGATGAGGATCAAAGAAGGATATTTTCGTTCTTTGGTTTCATTGCCTTTATGCTGCTGTTGTTGTTTGTATTTTAAAATGTATTATCTCTTAGGATGTTTTCTTGTTTGGTTCTGCAAAACTATAAGGGGTCTGAGAAGGACTGTGTTTATGAAAGGAAGAAATCTGAGTCTGGTTTTATAGAACTTGCTCAGATGTAAGAAAGAAGTAGGGGAACCTCATGTTTCTCTACTTGAAGTGAACTCTGCAACAGGCAGAAAATCAGTTGGTTTGGGCCACGATCTTGATTGAAAAATGAAGATTGCATGTTGGACATCATGCCCAAAGTTGCACATTTCAGGAACTTGTATAAAAGCTCACAGCGGATGTGGAACATGCAAATATCACACTTCCCTGCAGAATGATTTTCACTGTCTTCTGGTTTCAGACTTTCTTACAGTAGTCCTACTTTTTCTGGCATCTTCTGGCTAGCTTTGTAAATTCTGCGTTATTTTTGTTATATAATTTACTAATATCCATAATTCTTTTAAAAAAAGATTTATTTATTTGAAAGGCAGAGAAATGGAGGAAGGAAGAGGGGGAGGAGGAAGAGAGACCTTTTACATGCTAGTTCACTATCCAAGTAGCTACAATGGCTGGGGCTGGGCCAGCCTGAGGCCAGGTGTCCCATGTGGGTGGCAGGGGCCCAAGGGTTTGGTTATCTGCTGCTGCTTTCTCAGGTGTAGTAGCAGGGACTGGATTGGAAGTAGAGCAGCCAGGACTTGAACCGGTACACATATGGGATGTCGGTGTGGGAGTGGAGGTTTAATCCACTGTGCCAACAGCCTAGTGCCTATAATTGTGTCATTAACCTTTTGCTTAACCCCCTACTAGAACATAAGCTCCATCAGAATTCTCTCTTACCAATGACCACACTGGTTACCAAAGAACCATAATGCATATCCATGAATGTCTATGACTGGAGAACCCTGTGCTGTTAAAGAAAATTCTTTCCAGACACTAGCTAAAATAATGTCTTGTTTACTATGTCCAGGTTCAGGGGCAAAGCTTTCTACTTCTCTCTGAAATCTCCTTTTTAATCTTAAACTTCAATCAATCAGTGATGACCACATAAAGGAAGTGTGGATGGATATATCTTTTGATAAAACTGGATGAGGTGTGCAGAATTCAAGCACTCCAGAGGCGAACACTCACCTCTGTGTTGTAAGGGCTGGGACTCCAGAGATTCATGCTTGATCAGGAACTTCACCTGCTGGAGCGGCTTGCTTTGGGACTCTTGAGACGGGGTCAAAAGTACCATTTTCCAACGCAATGGTCCTTGCTCCTGGCCACCACCTGGGACCTAGAGTCATTCACAGATTTTTATTGCTTCATCAAATAAGTCTGTCATGCCTTCTTTGTACAATTACTTTTTCTTTTACAAGCACTTCTGCTAAAATCTTCATGAATATTAACTGATTTAACACAGATAAGAAACCTGTAAGCTGCAATTGGGTTTCTGTGATGCAGGACTTAGGGTACAGAATTTAAGCTGTTTACACATGTCATCCAGCTAAAAAGGGGCAATCTTAAGATAACAGTTCAGGCAGAACAATTGCAAAATTCATGTTCTTGGCCACTAATCTGAGTACCCTCATTATGAACAAAAGCAACACACCAACGTGCCATAGGCAGTGCCCAGGACTGTCACCAAGAAGGAATACAGGTGTTTTCATATCACATGACAACTAGGAGCCTATGACAATGTCACTCACACCCACTACCACTTTGAAATGACCTGTTACTGGCTCTGGCCTAGGTCCTAACATTTACGGCAGTTAAGTAAAAAGCATATATACATCTTATCTTATGACAACTGTCATGCTTTTGCCAACTGAATTCCTGCAGGACTGCATTCTTCTGCAATCCTTTCTATCTTCCTTTGTATTGAAAACCATTCCTCAGAGAAAGGTTCCAGGGGCTTCACCTGCTGCCAAAGAGGTGCACAACACAAGGAGACTGAGAGAGAAGTGCCCTCCATCTGCTCTCCAGGCTTCTGGAAGAAACAGACCCCAACTCTCAGACACCAAACCTGTACTTTTTACCTGCGGCGTCGGCTCATCCAGCTGCTGCTGCAAGTACTCCAACAGCACCACCACCTCCTCTCCACTCTCGGGGCGCTGCGTGTGCACCCAGCTCTGCAGGTCCCTGGGCAGGATGGTCAGGAACTGCTCCAGCACCAGCAGCTCCAGGATCTGCTCCTTGGTGTGCACCTCGGGCCGCAGCCACCGTCGGCAGAGCTCCCGGAGCCGGCCAAGTGCCTCGCGGGGACCCGTGGCTTCTGGGTAGCGGAAAGCACGGAAGCGCTGGCGGGAGCGTTCGGAGCCGGTGGCGGGGCTGCTGGGTGCACTGCCCTGCGCTGCCCCCGCAGCGGCGTCCTCCGTTTCCAGCTTCACAATCAGGAGCCCCGTCTGTTCCTTTGCAGACCCGGCGTCCAAGGCTGCGTTTTTTCTCGAATCTTCAGCCATCCTGAGCCGAGAGCCCACTCAGAACGCACTGAACTGCGTGTCTTCAGGGAAGTCTCTAAATAACCCTTAGCCAGGAAAGCTGCAAGGGGTTCCTTTGTGTCACGTCCAGGGGTCCAGGACGCCCCGGGGACACAGCACCCTGAGTTTTCCTATACTCCCCGCTTCTGCAGTATCGTTTTTCACACCTCACAGAAATTGAGACTCCGGCATAAGAAGCCTGGGTGAGAACCAAAGCCACTTCCTGGGCTCTCTAGGAAGTTCCTCTCGGTGGTTTTCTCGGCATTAATCCCTTAGTCACCCTGTCCTTATGCTAGAATGAAGCTGACTGGGAAAGAAAGGATTGCAGACCCTGTAGTCTAATTAACACATTGCTCTGTAATTTTGGATGGATTTGGTTGTTCCCTTCCCTCACTGCTGTCTGAGATAAAGCTGAACTGAACCAGGAACTTAAAGCTGACACTAAAATTCAGCCAGAAGCCAGTGTTTCCCCACAGCCCTTCCGACTGTGGCAGTGTGAGATGAGTTAGACTGGGTAGTAGGCAGTTAGGGGTATTCTGGGTCCCCCAGTCATTTTTCCTCAAATACGAAGGGGCACTTTCCCGGCCAGGTCTTGGATTCACCAGTGCATATCTTATCAGGAACGTGCTTTCCCTAGAGACAAGGACGACATTAACATATCAATTCCCCACCTGAAGCATCAGCTGGATTCTGTCTCTGGCCATTGCCCCGGGGGGCACTAGCTGGATCACTGAAGAACCTAGATGTTTTCTGCTTTTGTGATTCTGCCTTAATTGCTTGGCTGGGGGCTGTGTGAACTCCAGGCCTGACAGTCTACGTGACACCCGGCAGGACACCTGGCAGGTCACGTAGGCAGACCACTCCTCAGGAAGGAGGTACCTGGTGTTAGATAAGACTCACTACCCTATAGCTCATCAATTTGTACTTTTTGAAAGTGTTGTAGGATTTTTTTTTCCTGGCTTTTTATTTCTATACTAAGCTGAGGAAAGAACCTATCGGACATTTAAGATTTATCCGTTTCCATTGGAAAGGCAGATTTACGTGGAGAAGGAAAAGTCTACTCATTTTCGGGCCCGGCACGATGGCGCAGTGGTTAAGGTCCTCGCCTTGCACGCCCCGGGATCCCATATGGGCGCCAGTTCTATCCCGGCAGCCCTGCTTCCCTTCCAGCTCCCTGCCTGTGGCCTGGGAAAGCAGTTGAGGATGGCCCAAAGCTTTGGGACCCTGCACCCACCTGGGAGACCCGGAAGAGGCTCCAGGCTTCGGATCACTCACTTCGGGAGTGAACCATCGGACAGAGGATCTTCCTCTCTGTCTCTCCTCTCTGTATATCCGCCTTTCCAATAAAAAAATAATAAAAATAAATCTTTAAAAAAAAAGTCTACTTATTTTCATGTTGTCTATGGCTGTGTTTGCTCTGTAAGGGCAGAACTCCAATCAAGCAAAAATATTATTTTGTGTCTGTGATGAGAACACCTTTTGTGACACAGACATTAAAAGCTCTGTCACAAAAAGTGTTGTTATCACAACTGACATAACTATATTGTATCAATTAAAAATGTGTGCCTGGCACTTTTCCTTCTCTATGTAAATCTGTCTTTCCAATGGAGATGAATGGCTGGGGGTGGAGGTGTGGTGGGGAGGTATACTTGGCTAGGCTAGGCCGCAGTACCCACCCATGAGTGTTGGAGCAGGAGGTGGGCCACATCAGGCTGGGCCACAGCACCCACCAGAACACAAGAGAACCAGATCTGGGGGGCAGATTCTGTAGCGGAATTGTGGGCTTGCCTCTATAGGTCTGCAGCACCTGTCAGTTTGCACGGAGAGCTGGGGGTGGTGATGAGTTGAACCAGGTGGGGCCACGGAATTCATCTGACAGGAGCCTAACTGACAATCACGGATGCTGGGGCTAGGAGAAGGCTAGGTGGGGCCAGGCTATAGCACCTGCTGGAACATGCAAGGACCCCTGGCATTCATGAGATGTGGAACTGGGAGCAGGCTTGGTAGGGGAACTTGGGCAACTCCCTTAGTGGGCTGCATCAGACTCATCTAGGTTGCAACACCCACCAGCAAGAGCCTAGACTGCAAGTAGGCAAGGCCAGGTTGGGTCAAAGCAGCTGCCAGCATGCATAAGAACTGAGGTTGGGAACAGACCTTGTAGGTGAACTCTGAGGACTCCCATGAGGAGCTGCAGCTCCCACTGGGGAATGCAAGAGCTGGAACTGTGGGTGAGCCAGACTATGCAAAACTGCAGCACCTGTCAGCATGTGTGTGGCCTGCGTCTGTGGGGAGACCTACTGGCCTAGGCTTCATTACCTGCTCATACTCACAAAAGCCATAATGGGGATAGCATAATGGTTACGGTCCTCACCTTGAATGCACCCGGGATCCCATATGGGTGCTGGTTCTAATCCCAGCAGCTCCACTTCTCATCCAGCTCCCTGCTTGTGACCTGGGAAAGCAGTCAAGGACGGCCCAAAGCCTGCACCCATGTGGGAGACCCGGAAAGAAGTTCCTGGCTCCTGGCTTCGGATCAGCGCAGCACTGGCCATTGTGCTCACTTGAGGAGTGAATCATCGGACAGAGGATCTTTCTCTCTGTCTCTCCTCCTCTCTGTACACCTGCCTTTCCAGTAAAATGAATAAATCTTAAAAAAAAAAGAGCCATAATGGGGGTGAAACATGTCATATTAGGCCATAGCACCCACAGGGTCACATGAGAGCTGGATTCTTGTGTGTGGGACAGGCTGGGCTAGGCTTTAGCACCCTTCAGTGAGAGCTGGAACAGTTACAGACCAGTTAAGGTAGGTCACAGTACCTACCAGTGAATGCCAGGACTGGGGACCAGCCATGTCAGTCTGGGCAGCAGTACCCACTGGCACAGGCGAGATCCGTTGCTAGGGTGGGCCTGTTTAGGGAACTTGGGGAACTTTCATGCTAGGTACAGCTCCCACTAGTGAGCTTGAAAGTTGGGGTTAGTTGCATGCTAGACCAGGATGAGCTACATGTGTGACCTGGGTCTGGGAGTAGACTGGGCAAGGTTAGTCCACAGTACACACCAGCATTAGTGAGAGCCAGGAGAGGGTGCCAGCCAGGATGGGGTGGATTGCAATTCCTACCAGTTCACACTAGGGCTAGTGGTAGGCCAGTCAGAGCCAGACTCTTGCATCCACTGGTGAGAGCTAGGACTGAGGGTTGAGGGTGGGCCATCTCAGACTGGGTTCTAACATCCAGTGGAACATGCATGATCCAGGGTTAGGAGCAGGTCTTGTAAAGGACCTTCAGAAACTCCCTTGCTGGGTTGCTGTTTCCACTGGTGAATATGAGAGCTGGGTCTGGGGCTAGGACAGACTGGGCCATACTACTGCATCCACTGACACACATGAGAGTCAGAATACATGTGGACCAGCCAGGCTAGGCTGTAGTGCCAGCTGGCAAGTGCTGGGGTGAGACATACAGGGTTATACCAAAATACCCCCTGGCAGGCACAAAATCCAAGGCTGGGCGCAGATTGGTAGGGGAGTTATGGCACTCCCCTGCTAGGCTGTATCTATGGCTGGTGAGCACCAGAACCAGGGTTGAAGTCAGGTCAGGCAGGAGAAGGTGGTAGTACCTGTCAGCAGATGTGAGGGCCAGGAATGGGAGTGGGACAGGCTGAGCTAAACCACAGCACCCATTGGTATGCATAAGAGCTGGATGAAATATGGACTGGAGAGGGCTAATGCACACACAAAAAACTGGGTTAAGGGCACACCTCCTGGGAGTTATTGGGGATCACCCGGACCAGACCATGGTACTCACTGATATGTGTGAGGACCAGGTGCATGCAGGGCTGGCTGGGCCAGGCTGCAGCACCTGTTGATTTACATGAGATACGGAGCTGGTGTGGAACTGACCAGGCAGCTACATCCATCAATATGTATGTTAACTGGTGCAGGTGACAGAACCTGACCTTGCATTGGAAGACACAAACAAGATATCACCTCAGGTGAGATTTCTTGGGGGACTTCCTGACTACATTGCTAGACCCAGACCATGGCCATTGGGAAAATCACAGGATGGGTGACCTTATCTTAGGGTGCATGAATCGGGACTGGGTCTCCTCAGTTGCTGATTCCCGTGCAGTGGACAGCATGCCCATGGGGCTTGACCATCAGCTCATCTAGGCCATCGGGGGACATCAACTGCCTCAAATGTATTTTTGTCATAAAGATGGTGGACAAATTCCTTTTTTTTTTTTTTCTTAAGATCTACTTATTTGTATAAAGGCATGGGAAGTGGAGCAGTGGGAACACAAACTGGTGCCCATAAGGGATCCTGACACTTGAACGGGGAGGATTAGCCATTGAGCCGGCCACAACTTGCTTTTTAAGGGGGCAGGGTGGCAGCAGAGGGAAGAGTAGGAGCCTTGGCACCTGATCTCCAGCAAGAGATCAAGAGAAATACGGCAAAGAGCCGAACCGGAGAAGAAAAGCAACTTGATAAAATACAGGTCAAGAAGGGCGTGTTTCAATAGCAGAGGGCCTCCCACATGCGAAATTTTCCTCTCAGGAGCCCACGAGGCTCGGGCTGAGGGGTGACAGGGGCGACCACATCTCTTCACCCACTTCAGACGAGAAGCGGCAGCCCAAACTCACCAAACGCTTCACGATCCAACGCAGCAGGGCCCACGCGCGGGCCCACCCGGGCCTGGCGCCGCCGGCGGACGACGCGCGGGGGAGCGCGGCGCGGCCAGTGCGCGTGCGTAGGCGGCCAGCTTCGGCGTCGTTCCCCAACCGTCTGCAGGTCGCCGGGTGGATCTCGCGTTATGGCCCCGGTATTCCGGTCTCACTGCTCCGATGACGGCCCGGGCTGTCGGCGACGGTCGCGTCGCAGCTCGTCCGGGAGCCCGCCCGCCGAGCAGGCGGGACGTTCCCCTCGGGGCGGCAGCTGGCGGGGTCGTGTGGGCCTCAGGCCTTGGTGGGGAGAAGCGGGTCCCGGCGCTCTTTCCCTCCTCAACCGCTCCGACTCTCGAGAACGGCCCCCAGGGCTCCACAGCTGTGCCTTCTCGTCTTCAGCCTGCCAGGGCAGGTACCACCAGCACCACCGTCACCACCACTTGGCCGGCGACCGGCAGTGGGACGAGGACTTCGAGAAGGAGGAGGAGGAGCGCTTCCGGCAGAGGAGGCTGAAGGAGAGAGAGAGGATTGGGGAGCTGGGAGCCCCTGAGGTGTGGGGTCTGTCTCCCAAGTCGCCTGAACCGGATTCTGATGAACAGAGCCCAGACGAAGAAGAGCAGGTGAAGAGGCAGAAGAGCAGCAGTTCAGACTCCACCTGTAAGGAAAGAAGGAAGAAGACTAGTCGCTCGAAAAACAAGAAAAAAAGAAAGAAAGAGACCAAAAGGAAACACAGAAACTATTCTGGTACAAGTGACAGTAATTTAGACTCCGACGAAAGTTCCAGCGCTGCGGATGGTAAAAAGAGAACCAAAAAAGCCAAGAAGAAACAGAAGAAAAAACAGAAAGTCAAGAAAAACAAGAAAAAGAAGAGGTTGAAAAAAGAATACAGTAACTCAAGCGGTAAAGATTCAGAGGAGGAGTTGCCCGAAGACATCTGGATTTCACATTCCAAGATTGTAAATACCTTGGATTTAATAGGTCCGGAAGCCCCTATAATCCATTCATCTCAGGATGAAAAACCTTTGAATTATGGCCGTGCTCTTCTTCCTGGCGAAGGTGCGGCCATGGCTGAGTATGTGAAAGCAGGAAAGCGAATCCCGAGAAGAGGTGAAATTGGATTAACAAGCGAAGAGATTGCTTCGTTTGAATGCTCAGGTTATGTCATGAGTGGTAGCAGGCATCGGCGAATGGAGGCCGTGCGGCTGCGGAAAGAGAACCAGATCTACAGTGCCGATGAGAAAAGAGCCCTTGCATCCTTCAACCAAGAAGAGAGACGGAAGAGAGAGAACAAGATTCTAGCTAGCTTTCGGGAGATGGTATACAGAAAGACTAAAGGGAAAGATGACAAGGGTTTGGTTTATGCACAGCAGGACTTTAAGCAATAGTTTTACAAGGCCAAAACTGTATTGAAAGACTTTATAATGCCATCTCTTGTTTAATGGATCCCTCAGGAAAAAAAATCTGCTTTGGGGGATTTTATTTATTTATTTATTTATTTATTTATTTATTTATTTATTTATTTATTTATTATATCACTGTTTATTCTAACAGTAATATATGTGCATGGTTTTAAAGATATTCAAATATTACAGGAGGAAAGTTAGTAAAAAGTCAATCTTTAATCCCAGTCCCAGATTCCTTTCCCCCAAACAAATATCTTTTTTGGAGCCTTCCATATCCCTAGTTGTGTTTATAGGCAAGTATTTATGTTGTGGAGGACAGCAGTGTTAAACTGAAGTGCTTCCTCCTCCCCTGTATTCTCAGTTGTTTCTTGGATATCTTCATAGTCTGATGTTGCCAATCACCCGTGCAGCGAGGACAGAAAGAACCTCAGGAAGAACAAGAGTTTAGTTGTAATTAGCCGATTGAGTTTCAAAAAGCAGATTTATTAGCTTATAACTGAGAAGTCTTTGGGGGGAGGACAGATTTTCTAAATATCTTTAATAGGAATTTGGATTCTTTCTCCACTTTCCTTCACCATGGGTTGTCTTTCTCAAGTAGGTTTCTCTTTGGAGACAGCTGGTGATGACTGAAATGATTTGGTCCCTGACATCCGTGTGAGACCTAGATTGAGTTCCTGGATCCTAGGCCTGGCCAAGCTCAGGCAGGAGAGTTTGGGGAGTAAACCAGCGGTCAGGAGCTGGTTGTACTTTTTCCCCTTAAATTTTTATTTGAATGGTGAGAGTGACAGAGATCTTCCATTTGCTGGATCATTTGAAAGTTAGTTGGCTGAGAGTTTCAACAGGAAGCAAGATTACATTGTAGCAACAGTGTACTCTGTGGCACTGCAAGGCTGCCCCAGGATGAGAGCTCTTTCATAGTTTCTCATTATTTTTGTCTGCCTATCAAATAAATAAATGAGTAAGACATACAAGGAAAGAAATGACCACCAAACCTCCTGAGTTTGGTTATACTTTTCCTAGTCTACCTTTAAATAGAGAAATAAGAATCCAGAGGTTCAGACCAAAATTATGTTGATTTCAAAGCTACTCAAAAAGTATGCTGTTGCCCCAGTAATAGAATGGCCTGCAGCACCAGAATGGGTAGATAAATGAAAATAAGGGTAATATTGAGTAAGGAGAATAGACAATCCGAATACCCGTTATAGTTTTGAGGGTTTTTATTTAAACTACATAAAGTCAAAATTTTCTTGGAAGAAAAAAAAAATCTTCATCCTGACCACCAGAAGCAATATCCTAAAGGAAAAGGACATAGGATATATTCCTAAATAGAGATGAGTCTTCCAAAGAGTTGATTTGGGCCACATTGTCTAACAAGAGGAAGAAAAAAAATAAGAAAACAGAGGGAGTGATTGGTAGAGCTCATGAAAGGAAGTTGCAACTGGCACCGATGGACTGCCAGAACCGGTTCTAGGAAATACTGTAGAGTGAGTACCATTTGTGGACGAGGCCATGGTCGTAGCTCACTGATACCTCCATAGATCTGGAGATTTTATTTCCAAACTTTTGAATAACCTTCTTTTCAAGGTCCAAGACACTGTGCCGGTAATCCCCACAGATCTGAGGGTGAGAGAGTGGCATTCTAGAATCTGTCAGGACATTGTGATGTAGAAAGCCACCTTAACCTCACTGGAACACACCAGCTTGGGGAATGGGAACAGTGGTGAAGACCATGGTGTTACAAATGTGTGTTTAGAAACAAACCACACCACACTATATACAGGGACTGACTCCTCGATTTCTTAAATACGTCTTCGTGGTATCTTCCATCAACACATGTATAATTTTTATATATAAGTATTTTTCACAGTTATTTGCCTTTGGATTTGTTCTTGTGGGTGCTGTTTGATATAGCCTAAAAGGATTTCTTTGTTGGGAAAAAGGTACAAGCTAAAAAGATACCTTTGTTTGGAAAAAGATCCATCTGAGAAATTGTGATTTCTAAGTAAGCAAAAATTAATGTTGACTTTCTCCCACTGAAAAATAAAATATATAACAAAATAAAATATAGTACATGTAATTCCTAGAGCAAGAAAAAAAAAAAAGCCTGTGACAGTTCTGTTGCTGTTCCACAGGGGTCTAGCCAGTGGATTTGTCTTAAAAGAGGTTTTGACATTTGGAATCTGATTTCAGATCACTTTTGTCTCAGGGAAGCCAATAAAGTTAAAACTTTTCCTTTGAAATGTGTGGTTCTTGAGTGACAGAACACCCCCCCCCCCATTTTGGGTTATGCTTAGATTTCAGAATCATTTTATTCTTAAGATTAATTAAAATTAATTAAAATTTTTCTTAAATTTATTCCTTGATTAAAATTAATTTATACTTAATTCTGCTAAGAACACACATCTGGTGCAGATGGTAAGTTGGTATGAGGCTTGGGAAGTCCACATTCCATTCTACCTAGATTCGTTTCCTGGCTTTGATTCCAACTCCAGCTTCTACTATTGCACACCCTGGGAGCCCAGCTGGTGCCTCAAGCACCTGGTTTCCTTCCACCCATTTAGGAGACCTGATTTGAGTTCTGAACTCCTGGCTGCACTTCAGCCTAATGCAATCCTAACTTGTACTGGTGCGTGGGGTGAAGGGCGAGTTAACCCGTTGATGGAGGATCTCTCTTAGTCTCTGTTTCTCTTTCAATTAAATGAAAAAATAGATATATATAGGTGATTCTAGCAAATAGTTAAGCAGAACAAACCACTAGAGTCACACAGAGTTTCATTCAGTGCTGAAAACTAGTCCAAGAAAGCAAACTATTATCACTCTTGCTGATCATATTTATGAATTTGGTAAGACATCAATGTTCTCTTATAATGTTATTTTTTATGGAATTATTTGAAATAATACTTTACCAGATATAAGAATAATGCTTTACCAGATATAAGAATTTCCTTTTGAATTAGCGTTGCATGGTATGTTTTTCCCTTTGTTTTCTTTTTAGGTTCTTTTTTTGGTGCTGCCCATGTGACAGACCTGGGTTGGGTTTCTGACTTTCTGCTTCTTCCAGATCTACCCCTGGCCATCATGGGCATTTGTGGAATGAGCCAGCAGATAAGAAATCTCTTTCAAACAAAATAAATATGTATTTTAAAAGATTTATTGGAAATTCAAGTTTACAGAGAAGCAGAGACAGAAAGATCTTCCATCCACTGGTTCATACCCCAAGTGGCTATAACAGCCAGAGCTGAGCTGATCTGAAGCCAGGAACCAGGAACTTCTTCCAGATCTCCCATGTAGGTGCAGGGTCCCAAGGCTTTGGGCCATCCTCTACTGCTTTCTCAGGACACAAGTAGGGAGCTGGTAGGGAAGTGGAACAAGTGAGATATGAACCATATGGTATCCCAGTGCATGAAAGGTGAAGACTTTAGCCATTAGACTACTGCGCCAGGCCCATTAACTATTGGCTGCTTTTATCCCAATAGTGGTTTTCTCCCAGCTGATATGTAGGCCAATCAGGCCAAGCTGCAGTGCCCACCATTGAGTGCCAGGACTGGGGACTGGCCATATCAGGCTAGGCCACAATACCTGCCAACACAGGGGAACTTGGGGAACTCTTCCCACATGAGAGCTGGGGCTGGGGGTGGTCCAGGACAGGCTGGGCTGTGACACCTGTTGGCATATGTGTGAGGCAAATCAGGGGAGGTGGGCCAGGCTGGGTTAGTAAACAACACACACTCGCATAAGTGAGACCCAGGATAGCGTGCAGGCCAGGACGGGTTGGATTAGATCACCTGTCAGTTCACATGAGGGCTGGGAGTAGACTAGACTGTGTTAGGCTACTGCATCCCATGGCAAGAGCTGGGATGGAGGATGGGCTGGGCTGAGCCAGGCTGTTGTATCTTTTGGAAAATGTCAGGACTGGGGACAGGGCATCTCAGACCAGGCTACAGTATCTGCTGGCATGTACAAGACATGGGGCTGGACAGGGCCTGCTTGGGGAACTTCAGGGATTCCTCGCTGAACCATTGTTAGCATTAGTGAGCATGACAGCTGGGTCTGTGGACGGGCAGGTCAGGACAGGACAGTCTAGCCTAGGTTGCTGTAGTTTCTGGTGCATATGAGAGCCAGAATGGGTGTGAGTTAGCCGTGCCAGATTACAACACTCTCTGGCAAGTACCAGGATTAGGTACAAATCATGTCAGCCTGGATCACAGTAATCCCTGGCAGATGCAACATCCAGGGCTGGGAGCAGGTCTGGAAGAGGAATTGTGGGCAGTCTCTTGCTGTGCTGCAGCTCTTGCTATTGAGCATGAGATCCAGGGCTGAGGGCAGGTCTGGTTAGTATAGGTAGTAGCATCCATTTGCATATGTGTGGGCTGGGTCTGGAGGTGGGTTCTGCTGTGCTGAGCCACAGCTCCCATCGATGTGCACAAGAGCTAGATGGGATTCAGGACCAACTAGGGTAGGCTGTGGTACATGCTGGTGCAACACAAAAATTGGGGCTGGGCATGCGCCTGGTGGGGGTTATTACAGGTTGCCCCAGCTAGATCATGGTATCTGTTGGTGTGTTTGAGGCTCTGGACTGTGGTGGACTGGGCTGGGCCTGATTGGGTTGCAGCACCCATCAGTTTGCTTAGGGGATGGGTCTGGAGACATAGCTGACCAGGCAGCTGCATCTGCTGGTATTTGCATTGGTTGGTGCAGCTGACAGACCAAACCTAAACCTACACTGGCTGACCCACAAAAGAGTCAAGTCTGAGGTCACTTCAGATGAGGTTTCTTGGGGGGAATCCCCAGCTAGACCACTGGACTCAAACCCCAGTCACAGGGAGAATCACAATATATGTGGTCTGATCGTGGGGTGCATTGTCGGGACTGAGCCTCCTCAGTTGCTGATGCCTGTCTACTGGACAGCATGCCTAGATGCACGTGGGAGACCTGAGTAACAATTTGTCTAGGCCAGCAGGGGATGTTGAATGCCTCATCAG